AACATACTCAGAATTACATAAAAAGAGGAAATGAGTTGAAATTTTACTGAGATTAAAATTAGAATTCCCTAACTATAAGGCTTGTCAGATGCTGAAATGTGTTCTTGGAGAAGTTTAAGGAATCGCCTTCCCTTGGGTGTATTAAGAAATAGAATAAACAGTCATTTGTCATAGATGGCTTAGGTACAGCCAAGCCAAAAATGAGAGGGTGGGCTCCATGACCTCTCAAGGGCTATTTCAGTCTATTTATAATAATTCAAAAAACACGAACTAATGATGAAATCGGCCCTGTTATAAAAGGACCACTCCAAAACAAACAAACAAACAAACAAACAAACAAACAAACAAACAAGCAAGCAGAGGGAGAAATTCATTGGCCATTTCTCCCTAAATCCCATAATTATTTAGGATTGTAGGAAACATCATATTTGTAGATTTTGTTTGTTTGCTTGTTTTATAGGAACAGCTAAATTGCACTGAAACAAATCCTGCAGGACTTTCCAAATGCTTTGGTAGAATTAAATTTTTTGTGGTAAGAAACATTAGTCTAATGCTGTAGTCACTGTTTCAGGCTTGATATTATAAGCAGCTACTCCATGAGGCAAAATGACAAGGAATGCAATAGATTTTGACTAGCAACATTTGTTTTTGTAATGGAGATTATTTCTCTGCCATCATGGCTTCTATAGAGCAAAGGCATATGAATTACAGGGCACTCTGTGGTGCTGTTTTTGGATGAAGGATTTGTGCTAAAGCCAAAAGAATTGAGGCTAAGGGAAGAAATTTCACACTGGAATGGAGCAAAGGAGCATTCACTCACTGATTCCTGATGCCTCTTCCGCTAGGTTTAATAGCACACATAGATGTCTAACTTTTGACATGCTTAACCTATGGCAACAGAAAATCATGGGGTTGTTTATAATATGTGATGCATTACATTAAAAAATATACAACTGAAACTGTGGGCCTGCCTGCATGGCTGCTGGAGGCCAATGATCTTGCACTCCTCTTTCAGAATGGAGTAAAGGAAGAGGGAGGACTCTGCAATCAATGGTAGGCAGATCCAGGGAAGCCTGGACCAGCAACCTCTGACAACCCTTTCTGAAACTGAGTAAAGGCAGAGGGAGAGCCCCACAAACAAAGGTGGGCAGCCAGTCTCAGGGAAGTGCCTGCTGGCTCACGGGGCAGTTGGAGGCCAGTGGCCCGTGAACACCTCTTCTGGAACCAAGTGTAGGCAGAGAGAGGCCCCATCAAACAAAGGTGAGGAGTGTGATCCAGGATAGTGCCCTCTGGGCAGCACACCTCAGTGGAAGGCTGGTGACCCCTGTGCACCCATGCGCCCCATTTGGAACATCGAATAAAGTCAGGAAGGCACAGGGAAGGCCCAGCTCCCAAGGGAGCAGCAACTGCTTGGGTGAGTGCCTTTTGGCTCATACACAGCATTAGAGTCTGTGTGAAACCCTACTGCATGCACAGACCACACCCACATTGTAGGTTAAGACACACATGTAGGAGGAGAGACCAGCAGCATATAGAGACTTGGTGATCTTCAGGGATATGCCCATCAACCCATCCACAGCATCACAGTCCTTGTGAAGTCTGGCATGACAGTGCCAAAGTTGGCCTGGCCACCAGTCCCCGACATCCCAGTAGGAGCACACCAAAAAGATGCCCGCCAGTACCAGTGGCACAGTGGCCCAGCACATAGAACAAATTTGAAAACAAACAACAGGGAGAAGGAAAAATACAAATAACCAAGCAAGCGACCTCCCCTGGAATAATTTTCACAACTTGGAAATAATTTCAGGAAGCCTCGTGTCATTGGATTAAACGAGTATCAAACTGTTCAAAAATATGTTTTTCTTAGATGATTTGTAGAATTTTTAAGAGAGCACAAATTCTTTTTCTTTTTTTCAGAGAGGAGAATTACTGGATATTGGTTATTCCTATGCGGGAAATGTATGATGTACTATCAAAAAATAAAGGATTCCAAGCATTTTACCCCTTGATGTAAAAAATCAGATGTAATATCAAAGACATCCCGGATACTGTAAAACACAAAGCATGAATTCTTCCTGTTTTTAGAAGTAAAAGTCAGAAACAATTCAAGAAAGCAGATACTAATTTATTTCCAAAGATTTTCCTTCAATTATTTTTTTTTACAGCTAAATGAGCTGAATCAAGTTGAGAAGGAAACCATATTTTTGAAATTGAGAGGGGAAATGCAAAAATAATAGAATATTTGTTTCTTAAGAAACAAACCAAATCTAATTACTTCTGAGGATATATATTACCAAAACACAACTATTTTTTTTTCTGTCCTTTTTCATTTCCAACTTTTTATTTAGTCTGAGAAGAGAACAAGTTTCTGCCTTTTTGCTTCTCAGCTTCCTTAAATTTTATTTACATTCTGTTTTGGGGTTGTGCTACTTTAGAAGAAGTGCCTTGTGTCTGTTTCTCATTCTACTAATTATACTTGTTCAATTTAATTACCAAAATCAGAATTGCCATCAGGTTATACTTGCAAAGACTGGAGAATGTGTGAGCTCTAAGATTATTCTCTGAGCTTAACTTAAAAAAAAAAAAAAAAAACTACAGGTATCCAAATCATTTTAAAATGTACTATAGGTACTCTAATCATTTAACTTCAAATCTCTTGTTTCTATGGCTCAGAATATGACACATAATCTGACTTTATACCAAAAGTACCAAATTTTTATTAAAAATTGGATACTCTTGTAATTGTAAGGAAATCTATTTTTCACTGTCTACCCTTCTTACTACCCCCACACCTTCCAATATAAGTCTGAAGGCAACTGATCTCTGGGGATAAAGATTCATGTAAGGGGGCCTCCCCGGTGGCGCAGCGGTTGAGCGCTGGATTGCGAAGCTGCCCGCGGCCTCTGCGGCGCCGGTTCTATCCCTGGCTGCTCCCAGGCCACCAGAGGAGGGTCCCACATGGCGCGCAGACCTCTCCTGCCGCCCGCTGCTCCCCTCAGCAGTGTACTTCGGTCCTTCTGCCTGCTCTGCTCCCTGCTCTGGCTCTGGTGAATTCTCTCACCCTCCTGCGCTTCTGACTGTACCCAGTGCATGTATAAACAAAACAAACAAACAAATAAATAAAAAAAAAAAACATGCCTCTATTAAAAAAAAAAAAAGATTCATGTAAGGATCCAAATTAGATACAAAACTGCCATGGTTACTATTGCAAATATGGGAATATAATATATGGAAATAATACTAACAGTTGAGCAAAGATTGGAAACTAATCTCATTTAAAAATCTGTTTTAGGGCCTCCCTGGTGTTGCAAGGGGTTAAGATGCTACCTATGAAGCTATTCACAGTCACTACAGCATGAGTTTGATCTCTGGCCAGGGAGATACCCACATGGCGCAGCAGACTGATCCTGACTCGCCCACTGCTCCTCTCAGCAGTGTATTTCAGTCAGTCTTTCTGTTCTATTCCCCACTCTGTCTCTGGTGAATTCTCTCACCCCCCACACCTCTGACCTGGACCCCAGTTCTTGTATGCATAAATAAATCTTTAAAAAAATCTGTTTTAATTTTATACTTTTTTTGTAGCTTGCAACACACAGGTATTTCAAATGCTAAAAACACACACATTCTCAAACATCCATAGATATTAGCTAGCCACTCTACTTTTACAACAGAGGAAAGATTCTGGATTTCCTACTAAGAAGGTAGTATGGAAGTATCTTAGCAACTGATGAAAGTTGTGATGCATATTTCTATCACTCCTGGAAAATATCAAGTCTATTTTATTTCAGGCCCACATTTGACACCAATACAAGGAATCAATCCCAGATTTTCACTGCTGACTAAAACCCAGTGGATACCAACATGACCCTTCTGTTTCCTTGCTAGAAAACCAAAGAAATTAATGTGTTGCATGGTTAGAGTATGAATCATTATCTAAGATAACTTTGATTGAGCAGTCCAGTTTTTCACAAGGCATAAAAGTGACCCAATAAAAGAAAGAAGTTTGATTCCCTGCGGTTGGGCACTACAGATCCAGGCGTTAACTCTAACATGGAAGACCAGGAAAGCTGAAGGTCAGATGTGGATCCATGTCAATTGTAGAAGCAATAAATAAGCAGGGGAATGGAGAGACTTTGGTAGCCTGTGGATGCAAACTAGGATGATTTTAGCTTAGTGAGACATGTGTGACATCCATGTTCTAGCAAGGGGTCTTTTTATAGAAAAAAATTGTGATCATTGCATTTGCTTTTGGAAAACTTATAAAGAGAAGACAACTCCATGGTCTGGAAATGTGGAGAAAAAAATAATATATTTTGAACATGAGTGAATTATTCAATGAAACAATTTCACTATTTCAAGAACTAAAGAATAAAACTGAAAAAAGTCTGAAAGTGTCCTAAACACAAAGGTATACTAAAATGTGGAATGACAAATGTAATCTCTAAATGGAGATGAAGGCCCAACTTTGTTCTGGAGGAATTTTGTTGTGATGGAATTAGACATTCTGTTTTGTACATTATAGCTCATCATAGTAAGAAAGTGAACTTGATATTTTTCTAAATTTATGTTCAGTTTAGCTTTGCTTCTCAAATAACCTTTAATTCACTAGCATAGCATTGATTACAAAATATACTGATTGTAAATAAACTTAAAAAGAATGAAACCAGGAGTTTGAGTAGAATCATCAAGAGAGCTAGCTGGACAGATGCATGCTTTAGGGAGATGTCTTTGAAATTGCACTGCTGCTCTCTGTGGTCATACTGTTAAGAGTACTCCATGAAGTCAATATACTACAAGTTAGATATATGTAATTTAATCTCTCAGAACTTTAAAGAAGGGAAATTAGTTAAAGTCAAATATAAGTCAGAAAAGAATTTGATTTGAACAAATCTTGTAATATCAATTCTATTGCTCATAATTCCTCATTGTCAACAGCATCCCTTAGGATCTTATATAAACACAGCTATACCAGAGAAGACATACTTATTAAAATACCTTACCATATACTCTGAGGTCAATGTCCCTTTGCTTCTCCCCAGCAGCATTCACAGCTACACAGGTATATCTCCCTGTATCACTGATTTGTGCACTGGTCAATGCTAGGATGCGGCCCCCAGACAGAACCTATCAATAATAAGAAAGCAAATAGCCAACATGCCCCTTGAGAATAGCAGGTGTAAATGGACTTTTTCTGAGGTTAATCAGAAAATATGGATAGTTTCAAGCGGACAAACATTATATAATAATACCCGTCTCGTCTTCTGAGTAGGAAAGGTAGGACGAGACTAGGTAATAACCACTGAAAACAAGTATCTCCATACAGGATCACATGTAGAATGATGGGGGAACCATCTTCTCTGCCAGGAAAACAAAAATTAAAATACACTTTAAATGAGCTATATGGGCTTCAGTTATTTTTAACTCTGACTCAAATTAAGGCACTTCATTTCTTTCTCAGGCCCAAATTCTATTCTTATAATGCTACCTTTATAATTTTTATTTACTTTTAAAATATTTTTATAGAAATAAATATACCCTATATAGTTTTCTGATTCATTATTTCTGAACACTTACATATACATTCTGTTAGAAAAATGCTTGTGTTTGTTGTTGATGAAAATTTCTTTAGCTAAGGTATCGATATTTTGTGATGTGGCAGGGAATGGGGAGATTAAGTAGAAAGCAAAACAAATAGTCAAAAATATAGCACCCACATATGAGATACTGATCTTTTAATGAATAATTTAGAAATCCCAATTATGTGTTCATGGTATTTATATATAATACCATATAATATATGTGTAAAACTTTTCATAACAGCTGTGAATTTATATACTTATTTGTTAATTCTTTTATTTGGATAATTTTTGTTAATTCCTATTAATTCTCCTTAATATTTTGACTCTTTGTCTATTCTTCATTGAATAATGAGGTAGTACATTTCACCTAAAAAATGGCAGAGTACCTGTATCCCATTAGTGAAACTAGAGACAGGGCTTCCATCTTTCAACCAGGTCAGACTTGGGGCAGGGATACCTCTGGCTTCACATTCTAACCTCACCAGGTTATTTACCACCACAGTTACCATGTTATTGCTTCCAGAAATTGATGGGGCCACTGAAAAGGAATTAAAAAAAAGGTAAGAGATGTTAACAACACACAACAATTCATCTCAGAAGACTGAAAACTATATGTAATCTCAGCATCTTCTGAGATTCCAATCACAGTGATATTATGAGGTTATATCATTATCTCTATTTGACAGCTGAGGAAAAGCTGTTTAGGAAATCCAGTTCTAATGTCAGAGTGGATTTTTATTTCTTGATTTCTAAGGGTGTGTGTGTGTGTGTGTGTGTGTGTGTGTGTGTGTGTGTCTATCTCCACTGCACCCACTGTAGTATGTTAACTACTATCTCCTTTTTAAACACTGCTAAAGAAAAAAATAACTTGGAAACATTTCTCTAATATCTATGATTCTCTTCAAGAGTATTTTAGAAAAAGGGTTATTGTCATTAGCTGATAAATCATGACCATTTCAAAAATTCATCTAAAGCAAATTTAAGTTCAACATCGTGGGAAATAAAAACATTTATTGGTTTAGAACACTGTGCTCTTAAATAAACATGACAATAACACACCCTGTTAAATATCTGCACTCAAATTTTATTGAAGCACTTATCATTCTGGATGCTTCTTTACCCTAAGATGAATCTGGAGGTAGCACTAACCATGGACCTGCAGACTGTAAAACAACTCCGTAGCTCCGGCCGAGTTGATTGCCACACACTTATAAATGCCAGCATCTGATATCTGGGTCCTTTCAATATCAATGATCTGTCCTCTGTTCAAGAAAGTTACACTGGTGGAGCCTGAGAGTGGATGATTATCTTTATACCATGTAATAGCTGCAAGGGGAAGAGAAAAAAGCCCATCTGTTAAGTATTTTTTTCTTTTATAAGCTCAACAGGTATATTAAACTGACTTTAACTAAAATAGCAACACGATTTATTCATATGCTTATCATTCCAGCTTAATCATTTAAATACCTATTTAAGATTGGTTTTAACACAGAGATAATCCTTGGAAGAATACAAATGGTCAAGTCAATATAAGAGTCCTGAAAATGAATTTAGAAAAAGTATATTCTTTGTATTATCTCTAGGGTATCAATATTGTCAGATAACAAACTTTAAATCTGCTTATTATTGTGGATATTCCTTTCATCTATAAATATTTTGTCTATGCATCTAATCAAAGCAAATTTTATATACATTATTAATCTAAAAATTTATATTACTGATTCATGTGAATAATTTATCAGTGATGAGAGTAAAAAATGCAAAATGATAGTCTTAATAAAATTACTGATTTGGGTTATATATATATTTATATGAATATTTGAAAAGTCATGATGCATTTTGCTTTCACATGCATTACACATGTGAAATACCACTGTGGGTTTTGTGGCCATAGCATGAGCAATAATACAAGGTATTCACATATTTCTAAAACATTTAACTGGTTAAATTACATCATGTACTTAAAAGCAATGAAAATTCAAAAACATCACCCACCCAATGATATCCTTTTCCATACTTTACCAATGAAAGGCACAATATAATCTTTCCTTTATAGTAACTGATACATTATGCTCATCAACAACTTTATCTATTCACAGATATCATAAAATGTTAATAAGTTCCAGAATGCAAAAATAAACATACCAGGCAAGGGATTTCCTGCTGCCTTACACTCCAGTTGTACAGGGTTATTCACCACCACTGTCTCATTCAGCATCTTCCCTGCATCTTCCAGACTGGGTGGCTCTGCAAGCACAGACAGATAATTAATTTGTACAACTAAGCTATTTAAAGTAAAATTATTTCCTTAGTGGGAATGACCATTTCTTTCTGTCCTTCACATGTACATGCTGATATAGTTGGAATAAAAGTTAAGTATATTACTAAGTAGAATTGAACAGAATTTAAAAAAGAACTTACTATTTTTTCTGGATCATCCATTTCTCTGTGCCCAGATAGGAAAAGCCTTAGAATTAGAGATTAGTAAGTATTAAAATAATATTAAAGGAATATTTTAAAAATTCCAATGAAGGGCCTCCCTGGTGGCACAAGGGGTTAAGCACCGAACTGTGAAGCAATCCGCAGCTTCTGCAGCATGAGTTCGATCCCCAGCCGGCCAGGGAGAAACCCACATGGCGAGGCAGACCTCTCCTGTCTTGCCCGCTGCTCCCCTCAGCAGTATATTTCGGTCAGTCTACCTGTTCTGTTCCCCAATCTGTCTCTGGAGAATCCTCTCACCGCCCCCCACCCCCCCGCATCTCTGGCCTGTACCTCAGCTCTTGTATGCATAAATAAATCTTTAAAAAAAAATAAAATTTCAATGATCCTGATTGGTCTCATGAGGACTTGTCTTTACCAAGAAGTAAATTATTCCATTTCAAGTCTTCCAAGGAAAAATCATTATTTCTGAAAATATGAGACTTTATTGGACAATCATATTGGGCAGTACTGTTAAGCCATTTCAGAAACATAAAGTTATTTTTTCAGTTTTTAGTAGTTTTTTCTTTTGTTATAAAAGTTACAACTAAATAGTGAAATAAAACAGAATACTAGCTTTTTAATTTTAAGTAGTCACAGACAATGCTACCCTATTATTTAACATACTTATAAAGTGGGAATGTGAAAAGTCTGAGATACATGGTATAAAAGGGATAACAACTTGAATAGAAATACCCTATATTTTTGGGCCTTCCTGGTTGGTGGTGCAGGGGTTAAAGTCTCAGCGCTATCAAGCTATCTCTAGCCACTGCTGCAGGAGTTCTATTCCCAGGCCAGGGAGCCAACCCACATGGCATAGCAGACCTCTCCTGTCTTGCCAGCTGCTCCCCTCAGCAGTGAATTTCAGCAGATCCACCTGTTCTGCTTCCCACTCTGTCTCTGGTGAATCCTCACCCCTCCACCCCACACCTCTGGCATATACCCCAGTTCTTGTATGTATAAAAAAATCTTAAAAAAAAAAAAAAACACCTGTATTTTCAACACTGTCTCTAGGAACACAGGAGGGAGGCCAGGATAAAAAAAAATTACAAGTAAGCTAGTAGTCTTGTCTTATTTGAAGAAGATGCTGCAGATAAAACTTAATACTTTAATAGAAAAACAAAGATTTGCTATATTGTAAATCTTAAAGATTTGCTAAAATTTAACTCATTCAGTGCACTGGAGTCCCTCACTTTCAGCTTATACAATCAAGCAATTATCCATTAATTTAGCAAAAACAGAGAAAAGAGAAAGGTAACAGGAACAAGAAAATGATTAGAATAAGACAGCAGAAATAAACTCAAATATATAAATCAAAAGCATTATGTGTGAGTTTGTTTTCTTATTAGACAAAGTTAAAACTAATTAATATTTTGATAATTAAAAAATCCAAGTGTATAAAAAGCACAAATAAAAAACTGCAAAACTCTTGACAATAAGCAGCTTTACCAGGTGAGCAGGGATGACATCAATTTCTAACTGATATAATAAGCAAGTCATTAATCACAACAAAGCAAAATGCTTTCTGTTGCTTAGAATGCTATGCTTATGAAAAATCCATCATAATGGCAATGCCTTATATATTGAATAAAAAGGCAAATATTGTTAAAAAGCAGGTATATCTCTTCATTGTCTTCATTCATATTAATGGTCCAGATATTTGTGGGTTTATTTCTGAGCTTGCTATTATATTCCATTGGTCTCTGTTTCTGGTTTGGTTTTTTTTTTTTTGTTGTTGTTGTTCCAATACCATACTGTTTTTATTATTACTGTGTCGTATAGTTTGAAGTCAAGGCATTTGATCCCCCATTTTTCCTCTTTTCTGTTAGGATTGCTTTGGCTACTTGGAGTCTTCTGTAGTTCCATACAAATTTTATTGTTGTCCTTGAAAAATATCACTGGGATTTTAATAGGTATTGCACAGAATCTATCAATCGCTTTAGGTAATATGGCCATTTTAACATTGTTTATTCTCCTAACCCATAAACAAAGAACATATTTCTATTTCTTTGTGTCTTTTTTTAATTTCCTTTTACAATATCTTACAGTTTTTAGCATATAAGTACTTCTCCTCCTTTGTTAAATTTACTACCAGATATTCCTTCATCTTTGTTGTCATTGTAGGTGGAGTTATTTTCTTAATTTCTCTTTTTGCTAAGTCATTCGTTGCATATAAAACACAATGCAGTTTTCACTGTAGTTTTGATTTGCATTTCCCTTATAATATGTGATGAACATTTTTTTTTCCATGTGTCTGTCTATGAACGTCTTTTTTAGAGAAGTATTTATTTAAGTCTTTTGCTCATTTTCAATTGGGTTGCTGGTTTTTGTTGAGTTGTTTGAGCGCTCCATATATTTTAAAAATTAAAACCCCTTGTCAAATGTGTGATACACAAGTATTTTCTCATTCTTTTAGATTTGTTGTTGGCTTCTTTTATTGTACAAAAGCTCCTTAGTTTGACGGGGTACTATTGGCTTATTTTTTGTTTTGTTTTCCTTTCCATTGGAGTAGTATACCTAAATTCTTGCCTGAGGTTGAGATCAAGAAGTGTATAACCTATGTTTTCAGTTATGCATTTATAGTTTCAGGTCTTATATCCAAGTTTTTAATGCATTTTGATTAAATTTTATGTGTGGAGTAATTATTTAGTTTTATTACTTCTTTTTGCATGTGGCTGTCCAATTTTCCCAAAACCATTTGTTAAACAGACTTTGCTTGATTGAACCATATGCACATATGGAAATGTGATGTTGTTGTCCCAAAATTATATAAGTATTAAGTAGTATATGTTAATGTGCCTTTCTCAGAAATTGACCCTATAGTGAAACAAAAATTATAAAGAATATGAAAAATAATATTTCCCATTGAGTGTGTACATTTTCATAACAAAGAACACATATATTTTTCAATGTCAATGGAATACTTCCATAATAGACTATATAAGTATTAGGTGACAAAATATAACAATAAAGTATATATAAAATAATTAAATAATGAATAGAAATCTATAATAAAAATGAATAGAAATCCATAACAAAAGTATTAAGCATCATACATGGTGAAAAGCTTCATTATAGAGGAAATCAAGACAAAGGTATGGGATCAGAAAATTGTAATGAGGGCCTTCCTGGTGGTATAAAAGGTTAAGCATAGCACTGTGGAGCTACCTGCAGCCTCTACAGGATGAGTTCAATCCCCAGCCATCCAGGGAGCTACCCACATGGTGCAGCAGACCTCACCTGTCTCGTCTCTGCTTCCCTCAGCAGTGTATTTCAGTCAGTCTGCCTGTTCCTTTCCCCACTCTGTCTCTGGTGAATCCTCTCTCTCTCTCTCTCTCTCTCTCTCTCTCACACACACACACGCACACACACACACACATAGACCTGCACTTCTGGCCTGGACCCCAGTTCTTGTATGCATAAATAAATAAATCCTCTTTTAAAAAAGAAAATTGCAGTGAGAATACTTAAAAATTAAAACCTACAGATGTAACCAAGCATCTCAGCACTCAACAGAAATCTTAAAACCCCAATTAGTATTAAAAACTATGAATTGTTGAAAATAGATGTTTTAAGCATCTAGCCAGAACCTAGAAAAAACCTAATGAAATAAATCATAATAAATTATGAATAAAAAATAATAAAAATAAAGGCGGAAGACACCAAAGAAAAAAATACAAGTTACCAAAAAATCAGGAAAAGAGGCCAAAAAAGGCCAAATAAAAGGGAATAAAAGATTAAAGCTGGTTGACAAGTATAAAATAAAGTTTTTCCTTGGAGGCAGAAGTCCTTGTGGTTCAGATCTTTATTTTCCTGGATGTTGTTCCTGTAGTTGAATCCTAGAACCCAATCTTCCTTTGCTCCTGTGGTTCCTTCATATCCATCTAATTTAATATTTTAAAACTTACTGCTTGAAATTCTTAGTATAGTTCTGATTTCTGTATTCAGTGCTGGTACACACACACATATATACACATATGTATATACACATACAAACACAACACGCACACACTATGCACACACACATAGTATTGTACTTATGAGCAAAAGACCTTTAAATTGGCTGACTTTTCCAACTGGAAATGAAAAACAGTTAGTCCATGGCACAGTCCTTTAAAACAGTAATTATAAACTCAGTGAAACCATCTGGACTGAAGTTATCACTGAGTGATTTGACAGACTGTGTAGTTTCTGCAATCAAATGATGCAGTAGGAATAAGAAACATCAGAGCTGTGGAGTGGGCTAGTATTTTAATTTCACTAGAGAATTTGAAGAAAAAAGACAAGATATCACTAAGAGCACCAGTGTAAGGAACCTAAAAACTCTATTTTTTTTTAAAAAGAAGAAAAACAAAACAAGCAAAAGTTAACACAGGAAAAAAGTGACAATATCTTCAGAACTCTGAAAATAAACCAAAACTTGTAATAATTAAATTGTTTAGGTAAAAAAAAAACAAAAAAAACAGCTAAACCTCAGTAAGAACAATGAGTTTTATGGCATTTAATTTCATCCTGTTCCCATCACTCTCTACCAAGTAACTTGAAAACAAATACCTCTGTGACCACGATGAAAAAGGCAGTCTAGAAGATGACTGAGTAAGAAGACTGGGTTTGCAGCTGCCGAAAAACACCATTCCTAAAAACCTGTCACCATTTGACCTGTTTGGCCCTTTCCTGCAAATTCCCACTCAGAGGACTTATCTTTATTTGGCAGACTCACAATTTAGCTCATTGCAAAAAAATCTTTTCCCCAGAAGTACTTTAAAGTA